AATCGGCTTAAAATAATAGCTACACAAATGTTAACTATACAGCAAATCACTTTCCTCCCTTTCTGTAGCTTCATTCATTAGGAGCCTTTTACTTCTCTTCCTGAGCTGGTCCATACTAAGACTGGCCTTGACATGTTCAGGCACACAAGTATAGTATATGTATTATGTAGATTTAGCCTAGCCTGAAATGCTGTGCATTCTTTGGTTCTTCAGTTTATTGTATTCCTATGCAGTTATTTGGGAAGTATAGTTTAAAATTTAGCATTGTATTTGACAAACATTATAATAATCCACAAACTTTTTTGCAAATTGTCTTTCAAAACTTCCAAGAATTTTTTTTTTGCAAATTTTCCCAGAATAGAGCTCTAGACTGGGAATACACTAGACCTCCCTTCACTAACAATGAGATCTGAAAAAATTCACCATATCAAAAACAATATACTCAGACACAACAAAATTTGGGGTTCGATATGTTGCGGGAGCCCCAGACCGAAAAAATGAGACTGTCCGAGGGAGCATCCCCAAATTCACTTCAAAAAAAAAAAAACATAAAGGGGCCCAAGTAAACCAAGTCCAACCAAAAAAAACGGGGGAAAGATACACAAAGCAACACAGACCCAACTTATGCCTAAAACAGAAAACTCGGGGGCCTCGATGTAGCAAAAGGCTTATTCCTCTAAGAAAAGGAGGAGTAGATGAAAATAAAAGGCCCGGCGCCCTTTTTACAGGCGCGGAAAAGAAAAAAAGAGCGGCAAAAGGGGTAAAATTATTAAAAATGCGTAGGGAGACACTGGTCAGAGAAATAGCAACACGAATTTAAGCAAAAGAATCCTTTAGGGTCAGGAATCGGGGGAAGAACTAAAAGCCATAAATAAAATCGAAAGAAACCCAAAGTATTTTCTCCTACCAAATAAAAAATCGAAACAACGCCGTAGGGGCCCCTACTTAAACAAGATGGGTCCTACACAATACAGCAAGGAAATGAGTGAGCTATAAATCCCAATATGCTCATTTTTTTAGCAAGCCGCTAACCAACTGAGATCGAAGATAAAAAATGAATTTTTTAGAGAGACCCCAAAAAATTTGATTAACACAAGCCTATCCGATTTTTTCCGCGCCAAACTTCGAAAAGGCGATAAATGACAGCCCCGGCACCGCCCAGGGGCCCAAATATGGAACTCTGTGTTCTCAAGAACTGAAGAACCCTTCACGGCCTTTTCCATCCTATGGAGAGGGGGCTGGGCCGGGGGGGTCCCTCAGTTACTAAAAAAAACAGACTAGCCCCCTCCCCAAAGGGGGGAGAAAAAAAATGCAAAGAAATACGACCCAAAAGCACTAACACCCATATCATAAAAATCTTTTAAAGGGCCAAGAAACAAATCACCACCCTTAGAAACCCATCAGTTACACAACCCAGGGGAACATGGGTTTAGAACAGGTCGCTCCTGCTGTCTCAAATATTGGGGTCACTACGACAAGGGCCCAAATCACAAAGACAAAAAGAAGCAGATTAAATAACAACTTTGCAAAAGCCCCCGACAAAATGTGACCAGGGGTAAAGCGCCAAAAAGGGCTAAAAAAATAACAGGAAAAGGGCGGTCGTGGATTATAATTTCCCACTAACAGAAACACAGAGATCGTCAAAAAGTAAAGTCCGAGGGAGCTACAGTGAAAAGCTCGTTCCACAAAGGGCCCGTACTAGTCCCATCTTGTTCCTCATCCTCATATCCACTAAAAAGGATGTCCGCCACAGCACCGTGTCTTCCTTTGCGATGACCCAATCTGCAGACGTGTCTTCCATTGCAGACATTGCAAGGGTCCGGCGGACACAACCAAAACTTTCAGTGGCGCGGAAAACAATATGAAGTCAACGAGAGAAATTTAATTACCCAAAAGGTAAACATAGAAATTTAAAACTTCACAGAGACAAAACAAATTCTGGCCCCAAAATAGAGCGAAACACCAACTCAAAACCTGGGGGTGATTATGTTTGGGGATCTCACCTTAAGGACCATAACTTTTATCAATCCACGCTAGAAAAAAGACAGGGGGATAAGAGAACCTTCAAAACTAGGGAGGCCCAAGCCCATGATGACACTCTTCAGGTCACTTGTTCAAACCCTAGGCTGGAATTTTGCTGCACTCTAACAGCACCTTTCAAGGCAGGTGAAATTGCCGCCTAGAAAATGTACAGAGAACTTTCACGGCGCGCATAACGGAGATAAAACACCTCAATTAACTGGGAGCGCTTGAGGTTTCTAAACCTGTATTCCCGGGAATGCAGGAGGGAGAGATACATGATTATATACACCTGGAAAATCCTAGAGGGACTAGTACCGAACTTGCACACGAAAATCACTCACTACGAAAGCAAAAGACTTGGCAGACGTTGCACCATCCCCCCAATGAAAAGCAGGGGTGTCACTAGCACGTTAAGAGACCATACAATAAGTGTCAGGGGCCCGAGACTGTTCAACTGCCTCCCAGCACACATAAGGGGGATTACCAACAGACCCCTGGCAGTCTTCAAGCTGGCACTGGACAAGCACCTAAAGTCAGTTCCTGATCAGCCGGGCTGTGGCTCGTACGTTGGTTTGCGTGCAGCCAGCAGCAACAGCCTGGTTGATCAGGGGCTGATCCACCAGGAGGCCTGGTCACAGACCGGGCCACGGGGGCGTTGACCCCCAAAACTCTCTCCAGGTAAACTCCAGTAGTAGTTTATAAGTTTAAAGGAATAACAGGAAAAGTTGGGAGATGGATCTTTAATTTCCTCACAAACAGAACACAAAATGTAGTAGTCAACAGAGTAAAGTCTGAGGCGGCTACGGTGAAAAGCTCTGTTCCGCAAGGCACAGTACTTGCTCCCATCTTGTTTCTCATCCTCATATCTGACAAGACAAGGATGTCAGCCACAGCACTGTGTCTTCCTTTGCAGATGACACCCAAATCTGCATGACAGTGTCTTCCATTGCAGACACTGCAAGGCTCCAGGTGGACATCAACCAAATCTTTCAATGGACTGCAGAAAACAATATGAAGTTCAACGACGAGAAATTTCAATTACTCCGATATGGTAAACATGAGGAAATTAAAACTTCATCAGAGTACAAAACAAATTCCTTCCACAAAATAGAGCGAAAAACCAACGTCAAATTATTATTATTATTATAATCAAAAAGAAGCGCTAAGCCACAAGGAACCAACGTCAAAGACCTGGGAGTGATCATGTCGGAGGATCTCACCTTCAAGGACCATAACATTGTATCAATCACATCTGCTAGAAAAATGACAAGATGGATAATGAGAAACTTCAAAACTAGGGATGCCAAGCCCATGATGACACTCTTCAGGTCGCTTGTTTTATCTAGGCTGCAATATTGCTGCACACTAACAGCACCTTTCAAGGCAGGTGAAATTGCTGACCTAGAAAATGTACAGAGAACCTTCATGGCATGCATAATGGAGATAAAACACCTCAGTTACTGGGAGCGCTTGAGGTTCCTAAACCTGTACTCCCTTGAATGCAGGCGGGAGAGATACTTGATTATATACACCTGGAAGATCCTAGAGGGACTAGTACCAAACTTGCACACGAAAATCACTCTCTACGAAACCAAAAGACTCGGCAGACGATGCAGCATCCCCCCCCCAATGAAAAGCAGGGGTGTCACTAGCATGTTAAGGGACAACACAATAAGTGTCAGGAGCCCAAGACTGTTCAACTGCCTCCCAGTATACATAAGGGGGATTACCAATAGACCCCTGGCTGTCTTCAAGCAGGCACTGGACAAACACCTAAAGTCGGTACCTGACCAGCTGGGCTGTGGCTTGTACGTTGGATTGTGTGCAACCAGCAGTAACAGCCTGGTTGATCAGGCCCTGATCCACCATGAGCCCTGGTCACAGACCGGGCCGCGGGGGCATTGATCCTCGGAACTCTCTCCAGGTAAACTCCAGGTAATGCTACTTGGTATGATGATGCTGCCCATGTGTAGATAAGGACAGATTTACACTGTTCAAAACATTTATTAAGGAAATGTATCGCTATAAGTGGCTTCTTCAGTCCTAGGACTGAAGGAGCCACTTATGGGGATGCGTATCCTCAATAAATGTCTTCAACTGTGCATGATCATCTTTATCTACATAACCCAGTAAAGTTAAGCAATATCATTTATTTCCACTGAGGACCTTAGCTTGCTATTAGTATTATTTTTTACATTTCATGAGTAAATTTCAGCATGATAGTGTTTGTACAGAGATGGACATTTAGGTTTGCATTCAGAAAGCCAACCTGGAGTTTACCTGGAGAGGTAACTCTCCAGGTAACAGTAAACACTTTTATCGAGTTTAACTGTTGTATGGATAACAGGTTGGCTTATGATTACAGGTAATGATGATTCTAGCATAATAACATATTTTGAAAACATTCATTATTGCTTAGTTAATCTTAAGTTAATTTTAAGCCAGCCCGTAATGCTATGCATATAAGTGGCTTTGGCATGCTGCTCTTACCTGTATTTTTTGTACCTCTGTATGTATGCTTAAATTACTAAATAAATAAATAAAAATGAATTATATTTAATGGTTGTGAGGATTACAGATAACGAGAATAAGAATATATTGTTTTCCATATGCTTGTGGCAGTGAGAATATGAAAATATACTTTTATCATATTTGGCTGTTGTTGGGCTATGTTAGTGAAAGGTGATTTTTTACGATAGCTTTGAGGATGCTGGCAGAGAGTGGCTTTGGAGATTTCTGGCAGGGAGTTACAGATTTTGGGTCCTTTTATGCACATTGAGTTTTTACAAAGATTAAGCCAGACACAAGGTATGTCAATGGAGATTTTTGTGCCTAGTATTGTCTACAGGTTCTGTTGCAACTATCAAGGAAGTACTTTAGGTCAGCTTTCATATTAGAATTTATTGTTCTGTATGTGTAGGATGCACAGTAGTAAGAGAATATAGGTGGCCCACGGCCCAATATTTTATTTTTTTTTATACCACTATACACTGTCTTCTATTATTTTACTACTATTTCTCTGTACAGCGGACCCCCGGTTAACGATATTTTTTCACTCCAGAAGTATGTTCAGGTGCCAGTACTGACCGAATTTGTTCCCATAAGGAATATTGTGAAGTAGATTAGTCCATTTCAGACCCCCAAACATACACGTACAAATGCACTTACATAAATACACTTACATAATTGGTCGCATTCGGAGGTGATTGTTATGCGGGGGTCCACTGTATAATGGTCACAATACTCATCGATCCAAATCATTGCATCTCCATTGTCTTGAATTTTTTTTTTTATGTACACAACTGTAATTATATACAGGAGGGCCCTGCTTTACAGTACTTCACTTCATGTTGTTTTGCTAATAGTACAGCAGTTTTCAGTTATACCCATTCTTCAGTTATCCAGACTTCCTACAGTAAATATATTCACCACACACAATAAGGTAAGGACAAAAATATTTTGAAGTAATGTGTGTACTGTATATGCATTTTAGGCTTAGCTCTATTTCTCACTTAATGTATGAAAGTGTAAACATATTATCAGGCTTGTATATACATTTGAAAGTGAAAAAAAAAAAGGCTGTTTCACTTTACAGCAGTAGCCCAGAACCTAACCTGCTGTATAAGCAGGGCCCTCCTGTAATAGGATTCTACACTAAAATTGTGTTTACTTCAGGCAAATTAATAATTTTAATTGGTTTTGTTTAATGCCTTACTATTGTTGAGTATTGGTGATTTGTATACTATGCATAACTTTAGGGATAAATACTCTAATTCTATATCCATTTCTCAGTTTATCTGGTTATCATTCCAGGATTAGAAATGGATGCAAGATATCAAGAACCATCTGATTAACTACATTGTTTTGTGTCTGAGAACCCAGACATTTGAGGATTCAAAATGTTTTCGGCCTTGCGCAAATTAGCGGGCCGGAGCCCTGATGGCCCTGTTACCCCCACTTCCTCTGGGATGCAGGCCATGGCTGCGTCACTCCAGCGGAGATTTGCTCGTGGCATTCAATACAACAGTAAGTATTGAATATCTGTTACATCTAAGTAATGAATGCATACATGGATGTACTCAAATGCATCCATGTATGCATTCTCTACCATCCAAAATTTTTTTATTATTATTATTAACACACTGGCCGATTCCCACCAAGGCAGGGTGGCCCGAAAAAGAAAAACTTTCACCATCATTCACTCCATCAATGTCTTGCCAGAAGGGTGCTTTACACTACAGTTTTTAAACTGCAACATTAACACCCTTCCTTCAGAGTGCAGGCACTGTACTTCCCATCCAAAAATACTCTTAATTTGTGAGTGCCAGTTGTGGCATACTTGTTTCTGAAGCCAGGTACAGGTGTGATAGGATGGTAGACAGTGAGGTCAGAGTACATCTGTGGATTCCACCCCACATTGGTCTTAGAATACATGATAAAGCTGATAAATTGGCTGTCACTGAGCTTCATGTGTGCTGGAAGACAAGTATGGAGGAAGTGAATTTTTTTTTTTTTTTTTTTTTTTTTTATTATCACACCGGCCGATTCCCACCAAGGCAGGGTGGCCCGAAAAAGAAAAACTTTCACCATCATTCACTCCATCACTGTCTTGCCAGAAGGGTGCTTTACACTACAGTTTTTAAACTGCAACATTAACACCCCTCCTTCAGAGTGCAGGCACTGTACTTCCCATCTCCAGGACTCAAGTCCGGCCTGCCGGTTTCCCTGAATCCCTTCATAAATGTTACTTTGCTCACACTCCAACAGCACGTCAAGTATTAAAAACCATTTGTCTCCATTCACTCCTATCAAACACGCTCACGCATGCCTGCTGGAAGTCCAAGCCCCTCGCACACAAAACCTCCTTTACCCCCTCCCTCCAACCCTTCCTAGCCGACCCCTACCCCGCCTTCCTTCCACTACAGACTGATACACTCTTGAAGTCATTCTGTTTCGCTCCATTCTCTCTACATGTCCGAACCACCTCAACAACCCTTCCTCAGCCCTCTGGACAACAGTTTTGGTAATCCCGCACCTCCTCCTAACTTCCAAACTACGAATTCTCTGCATTATATTCACACCACACATTGCCCTCAGACATGACATCTCCACTGCCTCCAGCCTTCTCCTCGCTGCAACATTCATCACCCACGCTTCACACCCATATAAGAGCGTTGGTAAAACTATACTCTCATACATTCCCCTCTTTGCCTCCAAGGACAAAGTTCTTTGTCTCCACAGACTCCTAAGTGCACCACTCACTCTTTTTCCCTCATCAATTCTATGATTCACCTCATCTTTCATAGACCCATCCGCTGACACGTCCACTCCCAAATATCTGAATACGTTCACCTCCTCCATACTCTCTCCCTCCAATCTGATATTCAATCTTTCATCACCTAATCTTTTTGTTATCCTCATAACCTTACTCTTTCCTGTATTCACCTTTAATTTTCTTCTTTTGCACACCCTACCAAATTCATCCACCAATCTCTGCAACTTCTCTTCAGAATCTCCCAAGAGCACAGTGTCATCAGCAAAGAGCAGCTGTGACAACTCCCACTTTGTGTGTGATTCTTTATCTTTTAACTCCACGCCTCTTGCCAAGACCCTCGCATTTACTTCTCTTACAACCCCATCTATAAATATATTAAACAACCACGGTGACATCACACATCCTTGTCTAAGGCCTACTTTTACTGGGAAAAAATTTTCCTCTTTCCTACATACTCTAACTTGAGCCTCACTATCCTCGTAAAAACTCTTCACTGCTTTCAGTAACCTACCTCCTACACCATACACTTGCAACATCTGCCACATTGCCCCCCTATCCACCCTGTCATACGCCTTTTCCAAATCCATAAATGCCACAAAGACCTCTTTTAGGAAGTGAATGTGTTCAGATATTTACGGGTGGATATTTTGGTAGACGGGTCTATGACAGATGAAGTAAACCTCTAGAATTGACAAGGGGAAAAAGGTGGGTGGTGCATCGGGGCATCTTGGAGACAAAGAATGTTATCTGTTGAGGCAAAAAAGGGAAATGTATGAGAATATAACGATGCCAACACCCTTGTATGGGTATGAAACATGGGTTATTAAAGTTGCAGTGAAGAGGAGGCTAGAGGCAGTGGAGATGTCATGTTTGAGGAAAGTGTGTGGTGTGAATATTATGCAGAGAATTCATAGTTTGGAGATTAGGAGGAGGTGCAAGGTTACTAAAAGAGGGATTTGGAGGGGTTGTTGAGGCAGTTTAGACATTTAAAAAGGATTAAGCAAAATAGGATGACAGAATGGTAGAAGTTATCCTAGGAAAGGTTGGAAGGAGTGGGTAAAGAAGGTTTTATGATTGAGGGACTTGGACATTCAACAGGCATGTGTGAGTGTGTTAGGTGGGAGAGCATGGAGGAAAATGGTTTTTATGATGATGATCTGTTGGAGTGTGAGCAAGCTAACATTTATGAAGGGATTCAGGGTAATTGGTTAGCTGGATTTGAGTCCTGGAGGTGGGAAGTACAGTGTCTGTACTCTGGAGAAAGGGGTGGGGATATTGTAGTTTGGAGGGGCATATGAACTATAGTATTGATGTGCTCCTGGCAAGACTGTGATGGAGTGAGTGATGGTGAAATCATTTCTTATTTTTTGGGTCCTCCTACCTATGTGGGAGACACCTGGTGTGTTAATAAAAAAATGAATGAACTCAATTGGTACCCATGTTGGAAACAAATTCTTATTGTATGTATTTGTAATGATGTTTGAGCCTGAAGAAATATTCATAGCAGGTGGGAAAGACTTTAGATCTTAGGACATTTATTGAAATGCATATTGTTATTTTTGTGACAGATCAATCTCCTTAATCAGGTGACTGATGAATTAAAAAATACAATACATATAAGATTGAGACTGGAGTTTGATAGTTTCCCCAGCCCCTGCATGTTAACTTTTGCCATAACAAGTTACTGTAATATGAGCTAGAAACAGCATGTACTCTAGTTTGCATTCTGAAGCTCACAATAGCACATGGGGCTGGAGAAGCCTCCAAACTCAATTTAAAAATTGTTCAAGAACTCTTAGATTTCATTATATGTATGTGTTTGTATATATACTGTATTTAAATACACAATACTTTATTTTTCTTTTTTTTTTTAGTGAAACTAGTAATAAGAGGAGATCGCAATGTTGGAAAGTCATGTCTATTTCGACGTCTTCAAGGCCAGCCTTTCCACGAAGAGTATACGCCTACAGAAGAAATCCAGGTCTGTCCATTATCTCAGCTTTACACTGATCTAGGTACATTTATATGTGATTTAGGTACATTTACCTTAGTGAATGTATCTAGATCATGTTTGTTTTTGCTAAAAATTAAAAAATGTATTCTTTCACATTTTTTTAAATAGTGACTTGCAAAGTGGGAAAATTGTGATGATAGATCTTAATGATTGCAAATAAAGCTTATTACAAATTTTTCTAAAAGGCTCAATTGCTGGCATTTTTTAGACCTCCAAATACTCAGTGGCACCTTTACTTATGAGTGCCCCAACTTATGAGTTTTCCGAGTTATGAGCCATCATGTAGTCAATTTTTTACTTTGAGTTGCGAGCCAAAACCAAGTTACCAGTGAGCTTCAGATACGCCGCCACTAGTTGGCGCAGCGAATGCCACAACATCCACCCAGCATCCCAGCGTTTTGTGCTCTTTGTGCAGTTCTTTTGCCAAATTTCTTTTTTCTAACCATGAGTCCAAAGAAAATAATTGCAAAGGAAAGTGCTGAGATGATGATGTCCATTGAACTAAAGTATGAAAACATAGAAAAATGAGAAAAGCATTTTTGTTTCAGTGTTTTCCTTGTGAAACTAGTGATCTAGTGCAGTTAGCCTCACAAACACTCCATTTTCTCTTATAATAAGATCTCAGAAGGGTAAGACTGGGAAGATATGGCCAGAGCGATAATTATTTTTACCTCAGGAGTGGCTGCCACCACTTGTTACATAATGACATATTTTATTCATTCTAGAGTATATATCATGTTTCAGTGTTATTAATATTGTTTATTATGTTGTGTTAGATCAATTGTAATAGATAAATATGCTGAAGAGTTGATATTAGCATTACATATTTTGAAGTATTTTCTCCTGCCTCCCGAGAGCCAGGAATTCCCCTGGAACGGATTAATGGCATTTCAGTTAATTTCAGTGAGGAAAATTGATTTGATATACAGTGGTACCCCAAGTTTTGTACATAATTCGTTCCAGAAGGCTGTTCGAGTGCCATTACTGAACGAATTTGTTCCCATAAGGAATAATGTAAATTAGATTAGTCCATTTCAGACCTCCAAAAATACACTTACAATAATTTTTTTTTTTTTTTTTCTTTCAACAAGTCGGCCGTCTCCCACCAAGGCAGGGTGACCCAAAAAATAAAGAAAATCCCCAAAAAGAAAATACTTTCATCATCATTCAACACTTTCACCACACTTACACATTATCACTGTTTTTGCAGAGGTGCTCAGAATACAACAGTTTAGAAGCATATACATATAAAGATACACAACATATCCCTCCAAATTGAGTTACGAGCTTGGTCACAGAATGAATTCAACTTGTAAGTCAGGGTACCACTAATGACAAAACTTGCTGTAATGGGTCATTGAATGGGAAACTGAAAAAAAAGATAATGATGAAATTGGGGCTCTTGCTAATCTTCAATTTAATAGTGTCAGTTTGCTAAACTATTGCTTTACTTTTTGAAAATTGTCACAATAATTGCTGAAGAAAAGAAAATTAGGCTAGATCTGGGAAGGATTATGAAATATACACAATGGAATCTTGGTTTTCATCATTAATTCGTTCCAGAAAGTCTGACGAAAACCGAATTCAACGAACACTGAAGCAATATTTCCCGTAAGAAATAATGTAAATTCAATTAATCCATTCCAGACACTCAAAAGTATCAATAAATAATACATTTTGTAGAGAATAACAATAGTTTTGCATACAGAAAACTGAGAAATAAATGTAAAGGACTAATTAAATGGATAAATGAACATTTAATATCACGTTTACCTTTATTGAAGACTCTTGTTGGCATGTGGAAGATGGCAAGGAAGGGAAAGGGATAAGTTATCTCTACCACCATTACTACCACCCTCTACCACAACCAGTACCACCATCACTGCCACCCTCTACTGATGAGAAACAAAGCCAGACTGACTCAAGACATGTGCGATGCTTTGTGTAGGCACCGGCGGACACGTTCAGTATGGCGGACCACTGTCAACTTGACGAAAACCGAGGTGATGAACAAAAACTGGGACAAAATTTTCACAAAAAAAGTTGGCGAAAACCGAATTTGACAAAAGCCAGGGCAAACAAAAACCTAGGTTCCACTGTATCTGTATGGCAGGGACTGAAACAGTAAAGTCCTTTCTAAATGACTTGAAAAAAAAAAAAAAAAATTGAACTGGACAAACACTTCACAATTTTTGAATGTTAAAATGAAATTTGACAAGGGCATGTATCAACAGATGGGTTGAGGTAACATGGGCAACTGTATAGATATCAGATGGTTCATTAATATAAATATGTACCATTGAATAACACAAGAGCCTCGATGAATTCATTGTCTCATGGGGAGGCCTATGCAATGTACACAACCTTCCTTGCCCAGTGTTTCATTCATACTCATCCAGTACCACACACAGCCTACATTGGTGAATCAGCTTTTGATATTTTCAGTATCCCATCTTGCTTCTGGATAATGATAATGGTACTCAGGAAGAATATGAGCGATCATGGAACTGCAAAAAAAGAATAAGCCTGAAATTCTTGGTGCTTTGAAGAAAATAAAGATATTACATAAGCTTAAAAGTGGTGGTGTGATGGAGTTGGCGTGAGATTATAGCCTGAATGAGTCATCAATTCGTACAATTAAGAAAATGAGGCAAACATGCCAGCTTGTGCAATGAGTGACCCAGGTTGTGACCTGAAAAGAATGACATTTGGTCAGAGTAGCTAAATAAGACAGAAAAGTTGTTGAATGAGTGTATTGAGGAAAAAATCAAGAAAAGTTCACCAATTAATTTTATCTTAAGGTAAAAAAAAAAGAGCCTTGCAGCACTATGAAACTGTCTGATGAGGAAGTAAGGTCTGACCGAGAATGCTTGTTCAGTACTGGGTGGTTCCACAAGTTCAATTGCAGTCAGTTTCATAATAAGTTTTCTGGTAAAAATGCTTCCTCTGACCAGAATGCTACTGGGAATTTCCCTGCTGAGTTACAGGAAGTTATTTTTGCAGATGGCTATGAGCCAAAGCAAGTGTTTAATTCTGATGAGACAATTTTTTATTGGAAGAAGATGCAAGAACTTACATAAGTCAGCAAGAGAAAAGTTCACTGGAATTCAAGACAACAAAGGATCATTTCGTCTTGTTTCTTTGTGGTAATGCATCAGGTAATTTTAAGTGTAAGCCCTTAGTAGTTTTTCCCCTCCAAGACTACTTGTGGTTTGAAAGGTGTAGATAAAACCACCCCTGGCCAGCTCTTTGGAGGTCAAACCAGTCAGCATGGATGACAGAGGAATTATTTATTGACTTCTTTAAGCATCACTCTGTTCCCGAAATCATGTTTTACTTCTGCAGCAAGAACTTTGCATTCAAGGTTATCTTCCTTTGATAATTCCTGTACTCATCCAGAAGCTCTGATGGGTATGTACTCACATGTAAAAGTTGTATTTTAGCACTAAATACACAGAATCCTTAATATAATCACTGGATCATGTAATTATTAGGGCATTCATGTGTAACTACACACAGAGTGATGCAGAAACTTGTTGCAACAAGGGATTCTGACTCCAAGCTTGGAGTGCCAGACTTCTAACATAAATTTAACATTACAGATTTCAACATGTTATGTTAGAAGTGTATGGAACAAAGTACCCCAATCAACAGGTGCAGGAAAATGTTCAGCTGGTTAGGAGATTGACAGGTGAGGGCTTTGAAGATATGCAGATATATGAATGAACTGTTAGATGATGATGAAGGAAATCCAGAGGAAATGTTGGCAGAGCTCAGTGCCCAGATACAAGACAGGCAGATGACAGAGAATGATGAGGAAGAACCTGAAGAAAAACCAGTTAACATTAGAACAGCTATGTAAGCAGTTCTGTGTTGCTGCTAAACTAGTAGAGTTTTTCTTACTGCTCTAGTACAACCATGAATATCAGTGTAACTATCCACATCAGCTAACAATCTCCAACCTTTCACCATGGCCCAGTAGGGCCACACCATCCCTCTCAACACCACCTATCAGAATAATTGACATTAATCAACAAGCAGAATTTAAGGTAAGAAATAATGTTTGTGAAATCTCTGAAGCATAAGTATTTTATTAAATATAAAAGTGAATCCACATACATTTACAGTATTAAATTTTTTATATATACTATATAATTTAGAGATCTCTTATTTTTTTGGGGGGTGGGGGGGTTAATTAACGTAACCCTGTTTTCCCCTATGTTCTTCATTTCGGTTTACGTGAATTTTTATTACATGCTGTGATTAGGAACGTAAAGACCTTGTTATGTGATGGCCCGGTGGCCTGGTGGCTAAAGCTCCCGCTTCACACACGGAGGGCCCGGGTTCGATTCCCGGCGGGTGGAAACATTTCGACACGTTTCCTTACACCTGTTGTCCTGTTCACCTAGCAGCAAATAGGTACCTGGGTGTTAGTCGACTGGTGTGGGTCGCATCCTGGGGGACAAGATTAAGGACCCCAATGGAAATAAGTTAGACAGTCCTCGATGACGCACTGACTTTCTTGGGTTATCCTGGGTGGCTAACCCTCCGGGGTTAAAAATCCGAACGAAATCTTATCTTATCTTATGGCTTACTGTAGGTTATAATGTGATCTAGGAAAGAAAACATAATTTGTCTGGACATCCATCAAATACTAGAAAATAGATTGCAGAAAAGTTTGCATAGATAAAAGATACTGTAAGTTAAAACACAATTAGCAATATGGATACTCTTTGATGGTACAGTATATCATTATATTGTACAAAATATCTCATGTAAAAAGATAAATAAATAAGGTTGGATTTATAATTCAAACATTTTTTCAGGTGGCCAGTATACAATGGAACTACAAAGCAACGGATGATGTTGTGAAAGTTGAGGTCTGGGATGTTGTTGATAAAGGGAAGAAAAAGAAAAAAGTAAGTTATTTGTTGTCTAATAGTGTAATTTTGAATTTCTATGTAGAAATGTATTTCCTCTAGTGAGTTTCTAATTTAATCCTTAAACAGTTTATGACCTAGATCTTTTTCTAGGTGGCCAACTGTTTATGACGAAGATGTATGAATTATTTTTCATGTGCTCATACTGAATGTGGCCTGATGTATTTTGTGGTTATCATTCTTTCTTTCAACACGCCGGCCGTATCCCACCGAAGCGGGGTGGCCCAAAAGGAAAAACGAAAGTTTCTCCTTTTACATTTAGTAATATATACAGGAGAAGAGGTTACTAGCCCCTTGCTCCCGGCATTTTAGTCGCCTCTTACAACACGCATGGCTTACGGAGGAAGAATTCTGTTCCACTTCCCCATGGAGATAAGAGGAAATAAACAAGAATAAGAACTAGAAAGAAAATAGAAGAAAACCCAGAGGGGTGTGTATATATGTGCTTGTACATGTATGTGTAGTGTGACCTAAGTGTAAGTAGAAGTAGCAAGACGTACCTGAAATCTTGCATGTTCATGAGACAGAAAAAAGGACACCAGCAATCCTACCATCATGTAAAACAATTACAGGCTTTCGTTTTACACTCACTTGGCAGGACGGTAGTACCTCCCTGGGCGGTTGCTGTCTACCAACCTACTACCTATATATATATATATATATATATATATATATATATTTTATATATATATATATATATACATACATACACACACACACACACACACACACACAAAGTGGGAGTTGTCACAGTTGCTCTTTGCTGATGACACTGTGCTCTTGGGAGATTCTAAAGAGAAGTTGCAGAGATTGGTGGATGAATTTGGTAGGGTGTGCAAAAGAAGAAAATTAAAAGTGAATACAGGAAAGAGTAAGGTTATGAGGATAACAAAAAGATTAAGTGATGAAAGATTGGATATCAGATTGGAGGGAGAGAGTATGGAGGAGGTGAATGTATTCAGATATTTGGGAGTGGACGTGTCAGCGGATGGGTCTATGAAAGATGAGGTGAATCATAGAATTGATGAGGGGAAAAGGGTGAGTGGTGCACTTAGGAGTCTGTGGAGACAAAGAACTTTGTCCTTGGAGGCAAAGAGGGGAATGTATGAGAATATAGTTTTATCAATGCTCTTATACGGGTGTGAAACATGGGTGATGAATGTTGCAGCAAGGAGAAGGCTAGAGGCAGTGGAGATGTCATGTCTGAGGGCAATGTGTGGTGTGAATATAATGCAGAGAATTCGTAGTTTGGAAGTTAGGAGGAGGTGCAGGATTACCAAAACTGTTGTCCAGAGGGCTGAGGAAGGGTTGTTGAGGTGGTTCGGACATGTAGAGAGAATGGAGCGAAACAGAGTGACTTCAAGAGTGTATCAGTCTGTAGTGGAAGGAAGGAGGGGTAGGGGTCGGCCTAGGAAAGGTTGGAGGGAGGGGGTAAAGGAGGTTTTGTGTGCGAGGGGCTTGGACTTCCAGCAGGCATGCATGAGCGTGTTTGATAGGAGTGAATGGAGACAAATGGTTTTTAATATTTGACGTGCTGTTGGAGTGTGAGCAAAGTAACATTTATGAAGGGGTTCAGGGAAACCGGCAGGCCGGACTTGAGTCCTGGAGATGGGAAGTACAGTGCCTGCACTCTGAAGGAGGGGTGTTAATGTTGCAGTTTAAAAACTGTAGTGTAAAGCACCCTTCTGGCAAGACAGTGATGGAGTGAATGATGGTGAAAGTTTTTCTTTTTCGGGCCACCCTGCCTTGGTGGGAATCGGCCAGTGTGATAATAAAATAAATAAATGTTTCCCACAGAGGCAGGGTGACCCATAAAGAAAGAAAAAGACCTTCATTATTCAACACTTTCACCATCACTCGTACATAATCACTGTCTTTACAGAGGCGTTCAGATACGACAGTTTAGATGTCCCTCCAAACTGCCAATATCCTAAACCCTTCCTTTAAAGTGCAGGCATTGTACTTCCCAGTTCCAGGACTCAAGTTTGGCTAACCAGTTTCCCTTAATCCCTTCACAAAATATTACACTGCTCAGACTCCAACAGCTCGTCAGGGCCCAAAAACCATTTGTCTCCATTCACTCCTATCTAACACACTCACACATTCTTGCTGGAAGCCCAAGCCCTTGCCCATGAAACCTCCTTTACCCCCTCTCTCCAACCTTTTCAAGGATGACCCCTACCCCACCTTCCTGCCCCTACAGGTTCATACGCTCTCCAGGTCATTCTACTTTGTTCCATTCTCTCTAAATGACCAAACCACCTCAACGACCCCTCTTCAGTTACTTTAGTAACTCCACACCTCCTCCTAATTTCCACATTACGAATTCTCTGCATAATATTTACTCCACACATTGCCCTTAGACATGACATCTCCACTGCCTCCAGCCTCCTCCTCGCTGCAGCATTTACGACCCATGCTTCACACCCATATAAGAGTGTTGGTACCACTATACTCTCAAACATTCCCTTCTTTGCCTCCATGGATAACGTTTTTTTTTTTTATCTCCACAGATACCTCAACACACCACTCGCCTTTTTTCCTTCATCAATTCTATGGTTAACCTCGTCCTTCATAAATCCATCTGCTGACAAGTCAACTCCCAAATACATATCTGAAAACATTCATTTCTTCCATACTCCCTCCCTCCATTGTGATATCCAATTTTTCTTAATCTATATTGTTTGATACCCTCATCACCTTACTCTTATCTATGTTCACTTTCAACTTTCCACCTTTACAGCGGTGAGTATACAAGGAAGCAGCATGATGATTAATTATATATTACAGTGAGATTAAAAGGTAGATGGAATACAAGGAAAATAGAAGCAGCAAGTAAGAGAGAGGTGAAGGTGTATAAACTAAAAGAGGAGGCATTTAGGGTAAGATATAAACAACTATTGGAGGAAAGATGGGCTAGTGAGAGTATAGGCAGTGGGGTCGAAGATGTATGGGGTAGGTTTAAGAATGTAGTGTTAGTGTTCAGCAGATGTTTGTGGTTACAGGAAAGTGGGTGAAGGAGGGAAGAAGTGCAGTTGGTAGAAAGATGATGTAAAGAGAGCAGTAAGGGAGAAAAAGTTAGCATATTAGAGATTTATACAAAGTAAAAGTGATGCAAGGAGGGAAGAGTATATGGAGAGAAAAAGAGAGGTTAAGAGAGTGGTGAAGCAGTGTAAAAAGAGAGTAAATGAGAGAGTGGGTGAGATGTTATCAACAAATTTTGTTGAAAATAAGAAAAAGTTTTGGAGTGAGATTAATAAGTTGAGGAAGCCTAGGGAACAAATGGATTTGACAATTAAAAATAGGAGAGGAGAGTTATTAAATGGAGAGTTAAAGGTATCTGGAAAATGGAGGGAATATTTTGAGGAATTGTTAAATGTTGATGAAGATAGGGAAGCTGTGATTTCGTGTATAGGGCAAGGAGGAATAGCATCTTGTAGGAGCGAGAAAGAGCCACTTGTGAGTGTGGGGGAAGTTCGTGAGGCAGTGAGTAGAATGAAAGGGGATAAGGCAGATAGGAATTGATGGGATAAAGATAGAAATGTTAAAAGCAGGTGGGGATATAGTTTTGGAATGGTAGGTGCTATTATTTAATAAATGTATGAAAGAAGGTAAGGTACCTAGGGATTGGCAGAGAGCATGTATAGTTCCTTTGTATAAAGGCAAAGGGGATCAAAGAGAATGCAAAAATTATAGAGGAATAAGTCTGTTGAGCCCTATGTAGTAGGTTGGTAGACAGCAACCGCCCAGGGAGGTACTACCGTCCTGCCAAGTGAGTGTAAAACGGAAGCCTGTAATTGTTTTACACAATGGTAGGATTGCTGGTGTCTTTTTTTTTGTCTCATACACATGCAAGATTTCAGGTATGTCTTGCTACTTCTACTTACACTTAGGTCACAGTACACATACATGTACTGTACAAGCATATATACACACACCTCTCTGGGTTTTCTTCTATTTTCTTTCTAGTTCTTGTTCTTGTTTATTTCCTCTTACCTCCATGGGGAAGTGGAACAGAATTCTTCCTCCGTAAACCATGCGTGTTGTAAGAGGCGACTAAAATGCCAGGAGCAAGGGGCTAGTAACCCCTTCTCCTGTATATATTACTAAATGTTAAAGGAGAAATTTTTGTTTTTCCTTTTGGGCCACCCCGCCTCGGTGGGATACGGCCAGTGTGTTGAAAGAAAGAAAGAAGTCTGTTGAGTACACCTGGTAAAGTGTATGGTAGAGTTATTATTGAAAGAATTAAGAGTAAGACAGAGAGTAGGATAGCAGATGAACAAGGAGGCTTTAGGAAAGGTAGGGGGTGTGTAGATCAAGTGTTTACAGTGAAACATATAGGTGAACAGTATTTAGATAAGGGTAAAGAGGTTTTTGTGGCATTTATGGATTTGGAAAAGGCATGTGACACGGTGGATAGGGGGGCAGTGTGGCAGATGTTGCAGGTGTATGGTATAGGAGGTAGGTTACTGAAAGCAGTGAAGAGTTTTTACAAGAATAGTGAGGCTCAGGTTAGAGTATGTAGGAGAGAGGGAGATTATTTCCCAGTAAAAGTAGGCCTTAGACAAGGATGTGATGTCACCGTGGTTGTTCAGTATATTTATAGATGGGGTTGTAAGAGAAGTGAATGAGAGGGTCTTGACAAGAGGTGTGGAGTTAAAAGATAAAGAATCAAACACAAAGTGGGAGTTGTCACAGTTGCTCTTTGCTGATGACATTGTGCTTTTGGGAGATTCTGAAGAGAAGTTGCAGAGATTGGTGGATGAATTTGGTATGGTATGTAAAAGAAGAAAATTAAAAGTGAATATAGGAAAGAGTAATGTTATGAGGATAAAAAGATTAGGTGACGTAAGATTGGATATCAGATTGGAGGGAGAGAGTATGGAGGAGGTAAATGTATTCAGATATTTAGGAGTGGATGTGTCAGCAGATGAGTCTATGAAGGATGAGGTGAATCATAGAATTGATGAGGGGAAAAGGGTGAGTGGTGTACTTAGGAATCTGTGGAGACAAAAAACTTTGTCTGTGGAAGCAAAGAGGGGAATGTATGAGAGTATAGTTGTACCAACACTCTTGTATGGGTGTGAAGCATGGGTGATGAATGTTGCAGCGACGAGAAGGCTGGAGGCAGTGGAGATGTCATGTCTGAGGGCAATGTGTGGTGTGAATATAATGCAGAGAATTCGTAGTTTGGAAATTAGGAGATGTGGGATTACCAAAACTGTTATCCAGAGGGCTGAGGAGGGGTTGTTGAGGTGGTTCAGACATGTAGAGAGAATGGAACAAAACAGAATGACTTCGAGAGTGTATAAATCTGTAGTGGAAGGAAGGCGGTGTAGGGGTCGGCCAAGGAAGGGTTGGAGCGAGGGGGTAAAGGAGGTTTTGTATGCAAGGGGCTTGGACTTTCAGCAAGTGTGCATGAGCGTATTTGATGGAAGTGAATGGAGACAAATGGTTTTTAATACTTGATGTGCTGTTGGAGTGTGAGCGAAGTAACATTTATGAAGGGATTCAGGGAAGTTGACAAGCCAGACTTGAGTCCTGGAGATGGGAAATACAGTGTCTACACTCTGAAGGAGGGGTGTTAATGTTGCAGTTTTAAAACTGTAGTGTAAAGCACCCCTCTGGCAAGACAGTGATGGAGTGAATGATGAAAATTTTTCTTTTTCAGGCCACCCTGCCTTGATGGGAATCAGCTGATGTGTTAATAATAATAAAAAAAAAATTTTTGCTTTAGTGTTAAAGCATCCCCAGAATTTACGGAGTTAAATGTTGGTAAAGAATGGCATAGTACTCCTCACAGTTTTGTACATTATCTCTAGTTAAGTGTATCACAAGTTTAGTTTTTACCTGCAAGCATGTCTTTCCAATTTTTTTTAATTTCACTTATCTTTCAGATTGATGGATTGAAACTAGATAACACCAATCTAGAGTTTGAAGAGCCAGCCCTGGATGCTGAATTCCTTGATGTGTACAAAGGGACTAATGGTGTTATACTCATGTTGGATATGACAAAAAATTGGTATGTTGCAGTACCTTAGTAAATCTAAATTTGTGTAATTCCTCTTTGTTCAAGAGTGCCAATATTTAGTTTTAGGCCAATACCATCAAAAGTAACTGATATCCACTGATACTGGTACTGATGTCAATTCTGATGTTACCAAAATTAGTTGATACCAATTCCAGCACTTTGGAACACCCCTAATTTTGTATGTGGTTGTTTGGTCCATATGTGTTGTACTGATAATGTTTGGGTAACACTTGGTCAAGGATTTTTCCAAGCATTGTCTATTTATCAGTTAGTTAAGGTGCTCTTATACTGGTAATAAAATTTATGACCCTGTTACACCTAATATTTTTCTCCAGGACATTTGAATATGTACGTCGGGAGATTCTCAACATTCCAACACACATCCCGGTATTGGTTCTTGCAAATCACCGTGACATGGGCCACCATCGAGTTGTTTCGGAGGATGATGTTCGCTTCTTTATTGAAGCTTTGGAAAGGTTCCATCAGAGTTTATTCTGTTTTCAGTACTGTACATATTTTTATAAAAAGTTGTCATCATACAAGGTGTTATTTGTGCAATGAATATTATACAGAAAATTTGGAGCATAGAAGTTAGAATGCAGTGTGAGGTTACTAAAGGAGGGGTTGTTGAGGTGGTTTAGGCTTTCAGAGAGGATGGAGCAACATAGGATAGCTAAGAGGGTGTATAAATCTGGGATGGAAGGTTTGCAGACATATACGTATTAGATATCTTGCCGTGCTGTTGGAGTGTGATCAAGGTAACGTTTATGAAGGGATTCAGGGAACCTAGTTAATTAGTCGAGTCCTGGAGGTGGGAAGTACAGTCCCTGCACCCTGAGGGAGCAGTGTAGATGCTATTGTTTGGGGATTCAAGGATTTAGACATGTTGCAGTCAAGAGCATAATTTGATTGGTGATGTTAGTACACTAATGGCCCCCTTCAAGGCAGGCAAAATTGCTGACCTGGAGAATGTACAGAGAACCTTCACGACACACAAGTATGGTAAAGCACCTAAATTACTGGAAATGGTTGAAGTCCCTTGATTTGTATTCCCTGGAATGCAGGCAAGAAAGATACATGATAATATACACTTGGAAAATTCTAGAGGGATTAGTACCAAATTTGCACACAAAAATAACTCTATGAAAGCAAGACACAGCTGGAGATTCAACATCCCCCCAGTGAAAAGCAGGAGCACCATGAGTACACTAAGAAAAAACACTAAGTATCAAGGGCCCAAGATTGTTCAACTACCTTCAAGAAGGTGCTGGACAGGCACCTAAAGTCAGTACCTGATTAGCCGGGCTGTGGTTCATACGTCGGGTTACGTGCTGCCAGCAATAACAGCCTGGTTAATCAGTCCCTGATCCACCACACGGCCTGGTTATGGACTGGGCCACGGGGGCGTTGATCCTCGAAACCCTCTCCAGGTAGTACTCCTAGGAAGACAGCTTCTGAATAAATGATTTTTTTTTTTTTTTTTTTTTTTTTTTTTTTTTTTTTTTTTTTTTTTTTTTTTTTAGGCATCCTGCCTTGGTGGGAGATAACTGGTGTGTTGAGAAAAAAGGTAACCTATGAAAATGCAGCTTTCTGCATATGGTAGCTCAAGTAATAGTTAATGCAGCTTCATGATTGTCTAATGTTTGCAGCCTCAACAGGTGCACCTCTGGTGGCCCATAACACATCTAATCAGTACTCCTGTTCATTCCTTATATTGGCCAATTATCTGGTATAACTTTTCTGATACCATCATTCATTCTAACACAAGAGTATTTTAATGTCAGCTCTTTGTATCTGGAAAATATAATCCTTCACAAACCCTTTCAAGAAGAAATCTTAAAATGATATCAGGGAAGTGTGGGAGTCAGGACTAATCCATCTGCTAGGGAAATTCATGTTACAGTAATTATGTTTTTCATGCAAAGAACTACATTTTCATATCCTTTACACCATTGTAATAAATTTCTGAAATGGGAAAAATGCTTTGTGGACATTCTGTATTATTGGATTAAATTTTCTTCATATTTACAAATAGTTTTTTTCTGTTTTTTCAAATAAATTTTCATGGAACACAATAGCCATTTCCTACCAGTCAGTTGAGCCAAAGAACAAAACATTCCCCATCACTCATGTTTTTTCAGATAATTTTTTTTTTCCAACAAACCGGCCATATCCCACCTAGGCAGGGTGACCTAATAAGAAAAACAAAAGTTTTTCTTTATAAATTTAGTAATGTATACAGGAGAAGGTGTTACTAGCCCCTTGCTCTTGGCATTTTAGTCACCTCTTATGACACGCATAGCTTACAGAGGAATTCTGTTCCACTTCCCCATGGAGAAAACATAAAATTATCTACATATTTTCTTATTAATTGTGTATTGGAGATTAATAATATTTATCTTTAATCTTTATCACCCGATTTAAAGGCAAAATTATCAATTACTGCAATGTTTGTATATATAATTGTTGTATTTGTGATTACAGGAGCAGAACAATGCTTGTTGTGTCCCATCATATTTGTTTATATTTTTGAAATCACATTTGAACTTTGATGAATAGAAGTCTCAATAATGTGGCAAGAAAAACTCTCAACTTGCTATGCCTTAAAATTAGCTGGTGGTGCATTTGCTTCTTTAATACTGACATTGCTGTAAATTTCTTGTGGTATTTTATCTATTATCATCCCTAGATATTTTTCTTATTCTTATATTAAGATTGTATGACAGTTATTCTCATGTGGCATGTGTGTCCTTTCATCTATCTCCATCACTTAATATTTTGCACTACCTAAATTTTTGATGTTTTAAATCATTTCAATTTCTTACACAATAACCCGCACATATGAGAGAGTAGCTTACGACGAGGTTTCAGTCTGACTTGGACCATTTATTCAGTTATGACATTTCTTCAAGGGGAGCCCTGAGGCTTACTAGGAACATAACCCATATTCTCTCCTAAATCTCAGTAGGATCTGTCTTCCACTCTTGCACTCATTGCAGGCTTCCCACCTCCATTTATACTGGCCAGTGCCCTTAATACATGCGTGTCAACACCCACACTTCTCGACAGATACCTCTGCAGCCTATTCTTAGGACCCTGAGCCCATTGTTAGGATTTGTGACTTCTTTCTGCTTGTTTGGAATCCAAATTGGGTTGGTTGTTCACTCTGCTTGGCTCACTGACTGTGGTCACCATGTGACCTGTTTTGTCTGCTTCTGGTCAGGCTGAATTGCCTCATTCATGAGTGTGATTGCCTATTTGTGATTATCCATTCGTAGTTACAGGAGTAGAGCTATGCTCGTGGTGTCCCATCTTTAGTATTTAATTAATTGTAAAGTTCTTAACTGGCACAGTGGTAGAACAGTGGAGTGATTTACAAAAGGTAGTAAGGGCTACAGCACTGGAAACTTCATAAAATTTTATGATAAAAACTAAAGAAGGGACACCATGAGCTTAGCCCTGCTTCTGTAGCCACAAATAGGTAATTACTTCTTCACCTCAGGTTCAAGACTGGGTCCCTCACGATGCACCTGAGCCTTTTGGGGTGTCCGGCAGCTTTGGGTTACTTTTCCAGGCCACACACCTGCTACTGGCCCTGTGGATGCATGGTATCTCCTGCACTGGGTCATCAGTATAGCTACTTCTGAGGTAAGGCCTGTTTTTAATGACTGGATTACTCTTCATGTGGTTAATAAGTTTTTCAAAGGTCTGACCTCATGAACCCAATCCTCTTATTGCTTCAGATTTGAGCTGTGGGTCCTCTGGGCTTATTCATCAGGGATATTATTGATTGACAGGCAGGTCCACATGCCAGTGATCTACTGGCTTCTCGTTTTATGGCCTTCCATGAGTAACATTTGCATCTTAGAATCTATGATCTTGTGCTTGATCCTGGCAGAATCTTTGTGGGTCTACACTAGGATCATGCCAGGGGTGACTATTTTGTGGTGTTCCTCAGCCAGCTGGCCTGTGAATGGAAAATCATACTCATCTACAGGCTATTGGTAGAAACTATTCTAATTGTTCTGCTTGATTTGCCCAGATCTGGCTTCATAAAAGTTGTAAAGTAAAAGGACACAAGTGCAACTAATGTGACATTTTATTCTGGCAACAATTCGCTCTCCAGGAGCTTTATCAAGCCGTTACAAACAATACATGGACACAGGATATATATAGGCTTAGAGTGAGGTGTAATACTAGTGGTAGTAGTAGTAATATAAGTTGTTGTTGTAGTAGTAATACAATTTGGTAGAACAGTCAACTTGCATATGAGTAAAAGGTCAAAAAACTATTACTTGGGTAGCATAAAAATAGGTTAGACAAATATTTCTGTTGGTGGTTGGATCTGAGAAAGTTTGTTTCTGTGTTCCTTCTCTGTTGTGTTCTTGTGTAGCAGAGACTATGTGAAGGCAAGGTTTACTGTTTTGAGGAGGATTTTTGATAATACAGTGGACCCTCGCATAACGCTATTAATCCGTTCCTGAGAGCTCAATGTTAGGCGAAATTATCGTTATGCGAATTAATTTTCCCCGTAAGAAATAATGGAAATCAAATTAATCCATTCTTGACACCCAAAAGTATGAAAAAAAAAACTTTTACCACATGAAATATTAATTTTAATACACACAAACTGAAGAAGACATGCACAGTTACATGACACTTACCTTTATTGAAGATCTGGTGATGATTGATGGGATGGGAGGAGGGGAGAGTGTTGATGGTCTTAGTGTTTAGAAAGGGAATCTCCTTCCATTAGGACTTGAGGTGTCAAGTGCTTTTCCGGGGTTACTTCCCTTCTTCTTTTAATGCCACTAGGACCAACTTCAGAGTCACTGGACTTCTGTCGCACAACGTATCTGTCCATAGAGGTCTGTACCTCTTGTTCCTTTATGACTTTCCTAAAGTGGTTCACAACATTATCAGTGTACAGGTTGCCAACACGGCTTGTAACAGCTGTCTGAGGGTGATTTTCATCCATAAAGGTTTGCACTTTAAGCCACATTGCACAGATTTCCTTAATCTTTGAAGTAGGCAACTTCTTCAATTTCTCTCTCCCCTCCTCCGAAGCAGTTTCCTCAGGTCTGCCCTCTTGCTGTTGAAGATGATCTAGCAGCTCATCAGTGGTTAGTTCTTCATTGTCCTCCTCCACCAACTCTTCCACATCCTCCCCACTAACCTCCAACCCCAAGGACTTCCCCAATGCCACAATTGATTCCTCAACTGGCATATGCCTCTCAGGGTTAGCCTCAAATCCTTCAAAATCCCTTTGGTCTACACATTCTGGCCACAGTTTCTTCCAAGCAGAGTTCAAGGTCCTCTTAGCACTCCCTCCAAGCCTTACCTATAAGGTTTACACAATTGAGGATATTAAAGTGATCTCTCCAAAACTCTCTTAGAGTCAATTGAGTTTCTGAGGTCACTACAAAGCACCTTTCAAACAGAGCTTTTGTGTACAGTTTTTTGAAGTTTGAAATAA